TTTGCAGCAGAGAGGGAGGGAGGGAGGGGAGGGAGGGAGGACACCTCATCTTAGATCTAGCCTGGGTTTTTCTCTTTCCTGTGCCCACTCTATGCAATCCATCTGGAGCTCCTTTTGCCTTTATGTTCCAAATACATGCAGATCCAAACACTTCTTCCCACCTCCCCAGCAACACTCAGAGTTAAACCATCATCATCTATCACATTGACAACTGGTCTCCCTGCTTTTGGCCTGTCCCCTTACAATTTATTTTCAATGCAGCAAAATAATCGTTTTAAAGATAGTCAGTTTATATCACTCCTCTTCTTAAAACTACCAATCACTTTTCATTTCACTCAAAATAAAAGCCAACAACTTCCAAGCGGTCCTCAAACTCCTACCTGATACCCAGGCTTATTCCATTCAAGCCACAGGTCTCCCAGCACAGCAGCCACATGCTCACCTTAGGACATTCAAAAATGTCACCTGACTGCTCTTCCCCAATGTATTTGTCTGGCTCACTGTTCTTCAAGGCTTTGCCCATATTTTTTCTTTTCAAATGGCATCTGACCACCTCATATAAAATCACCTGCTCCACATACTCCCTGGCGTGCATGCAGCTTTTCTTTTTAATTTTTTCCCACAGCAACAATTTTTTTAATGGATAGTTACATAGTTCTTACTACGATCCAGGCATTCTAGCCAGCTATTAATTCATCCAATGCGTACAGCAACCTTATGGAGTAGGAACCATTGCCTTGTCTACTTAATAGGCCATAAGAAAATGGGGGCACAGGGAGGGTGAGTAACTTACCTAAGTCTCACAGCTAGAAAGTGGTGGAGCTGAGGTTCAAACTCAGACTGTCTGATTTCAGGAGCAATGCTCTTACAACTCTGCTTTGTTGCATTTATACTATAGGGTATATGTCTTGTATTTTGTTTATTGTGTGTTTTGCTCTGTAACATGTAAACTCTGTGAGGGTGAGGATCTTTCCTCTGTTCCCAAATATTTACCAAACACCAAGAATGATGTTTGACACATTGTGGGTGACCAATAAGTATTTGTTGGATGAATACATGAACTTTATGATTGAGAGTCTGCTTCCCATCTTGAGATGCATTATTTTAGACTCATTAACAAAATATCCACTTCTCAGGGACATCAGTTTATCTTCTATGAGGCTTCAGGTGACAAAGAATGAGGAGCAGTGTTCTAGTTCAGATATTTTATTTCACCCTATACTTTCTGAATGAGTGAAACTGCTTTAGAGATACTGTAACTGTGCAGAAATGTCCTTTCTTTAGTATGAACTTCTCTCCTTTCCTTCCTTTTGGTTCAAACTGGCCTCATCTAGCACCTGGACTCACTCACCTACTTCTCTCTTGCAGGACCACTTTCTTAATCAGTAAGTCCTCAGGACAACGAGGCCCTGGTCAGCATTAAACAATCTGGAACAAAGCCTGGGGTCTAGTGACCACCGAGGAAGATAACACCTAAGCCTCAGTTATGTTTCAGCTCTGGACCCAGGAAAATGGAACATTCAATCAACCATGTCCTACAAACCAGACAGAACGACACCATGGCTGACATCAGGACCAGATGCATTGATCAACTACCGCCTGCCCTAGCACTGACCAATTAATAAACACCATGACCCTAACCACGACCCTAACTCCCATAGTCACCATGAATAGTGACTTCCCCCCTACATAACCCATCCCCTGGAGCCACTGGAGAGCCAGTCTTTGCGCACTGCTCACCTGTGACTCCAGACCTGGGCCACTTCCTCAACCAATAACCTCTTCCTATCTGCTGCAAGCTCCTATTACCCTCTTATTGGGCTTTGATGAGGGCCGGCAAACAGACCCCTTTAGTGTGGTAACAATGATGCCTTTATTTCCCTCTGATTTTGTTTTCACTTTAAGTTTCCTTTGCAACCCCACCCACCCCTCCCCACCCTGTATTTGGAGTGGGAAGATGTGAGAAGAAATAAATATGGAAAGGAGAAGGGGTGGTTCACTCTTAATCTTACACACACCAGTTAGCCTTTAAGCCTTATTTCCTGTAAGAATTTTGTAGTAAAGACAATGCACAGGTTCTGGAGTCAGAGAGTGAGGGCTGTGTGGCAGAAAGGCCTCTGGTCATTGTGGTCCCCATACTGGAAGACAAAACAGAACAAACCTCATAATCCAGGTTTCTTAAAATTCCAGCACAGCAAAGTGGACGCCTGCAGTGATTCTCAACTCTGTTCACTTTGTAAAGAGACCTGGAGAAGTGGTAAAAAAAACAACTGCCTAATGAGACCCAATGCACCTGAATTCTAAATTCTGCAGCATTTCTCCACGGATGAACACACACACACACACACACACACACACACACACACACACACACACACACAGTAACTGCGTAGCCCTGGTCAACTTCAGAACCTTATTTATGCTCTCTGTAAAAATAAGGGTAATAATTTCTGTCCCAATATCCTTTGTTTTGAGAAGCAAATAAGAACACAGCTATGACTATGAATGTGAAATCATTACACAGATTTAATTTATAATTAAAATTCTATCTGTTTATGTTAAATTTGTCAAAATAACGTACTTCCTTAATATACCAAAAAAAAAGCCTAACCAATGTATGAGTATAAAAATATTTTAATCAGTTCAACTTGCCTTTGGAGAGATGTAGATAATAAAATAAATAAAAGTAATGCTCTCGTGTGTCATGATTTATAGCAGAAGAGCCTGGCCTGGTAGCTTTTACAAGGCTGGGTTATGATTCCCTACAGGTATTTCAGCTGCAGAGAGATGACTTCAGTGAGCATTTGTGAGTTACAGGGTGGATGAGATTTATCTGCCTTATTTAGAAGAACACTGAAGGAAAGAAAGAAAATCAAAGTAAAGAGACCCATGTGCATTGTCAGCTGCCTTCTTCAAATGGTGATCCTTTTTATTGCCAGAACCAGGAAGGCAGCAAGGGTCAGTTGTGTGTCATCTTTTCTGGCTTTCAGGCCTCTAGTACTTTGCAGGATATGAGGATCTGTCCAGACAACCTGTCCACCTTTAAAAGAAAGGGGTTTCTCTTCAGATTTCCACATCCGAATACCTTTGTAGCAGCCATCCTAATGCCATGGTAGTTAAAACTATGTGTCTTGAAATCAAACAATCTCCCAGTGCCTGAGGGCTAGAGATCACTTGTGCAGGGGCCTGGAAACTTCCCCCTTCCCCCTTCAGATCTTCTCCCTGGTTGAGTAAATTCAAACCACATACAACAGACTAACAGGAGAAAATCCGTTTTAATATGTGCACAGGAATTCACATAAGCATAAAAATTCCAAAGACAATGAGGCAAACGAGGTATATAGGACAAAAGTAATAAGTAGAGAAAGGGTCTGGAATGTCAAAGGGGAAACAGGCATTCACAGGTCACAGAGAAAGTGGCGAATCTGCGCTAGGCAGCTCAGAAACAACGGGACAAGGGAATCTAGTGAACAGCTTTTCGGATCCTTCCCATCTGCCACACTTAATTCAAATGTGCTAAGGTTCCTTTCCTGCAGCAGGGTTTTCTTTGTGTGTTTTTTATCTGAATCTCTTTAAGAAACAAAAGGGGGGGGGAACCCTCTTTCTGAGTTGTTGGGTTCTAATTGTTTGCATGCCAGGGGGGCACGTTCGGAGAGACTCATCTGAACTCCCACACTTGGAACAGGCTCTAACCCATTCTTACCTTGTTTTCTTCATTAGCAAAACTGAGATACAAACTCGTCAGCTTTAAGAGGTTTTTTTTTCATATATGATTAAATTTTAAAGTTATGTTTAATGTAACACAAAGTTTGGGGTACATCTAATATTCAAAATCTTAAAGGTTGATGTTTTAATAAAAAATAAAGGAATCTGCAATTATTTCACACCTGATCTATTGCTATTGAAACATGATTGTTGATAAAACAAAATCTTGGAGGACTCTTTGGTTATAGCGTCTTAAAGGAAATCACAGGAAACTGCCTTCTATGGAAATGCTGGGAATCAGGAGGCAATGAGGACTTGACAAAAGATGCAAGCATAAAATAGGAAGAAACCGATGTACAGCAGGAGGGGCTGCTTGGGTGAATTCCTCAGCATTGCTCTTCTCCACAAGCACACCTGGCCTTGGCACATAAAGCACACAATCAGTTCTTTGCTACAGGCACAAGGATAAGAACACTTCCTAGCTCTGCAACCTGGAGCAACTTTCTAAACCTCTCTGGGCCTCATTCTCCTCGTTTGTATAATGGAGACAGTCAGAACCTCTTCCTCTGAGGGCTGTTTCGGTAATTGGTGTGAAATCGGAGGAGCTAATGCAAATAAATAAGGCAGTACTGTCCTTTCCTGGCACACTGGCTGCCTCAATAGGGGTAACCATCAAAATATCATTTACCTTTTTCCTCTCACAGATTTTGGAGAAAATCATATTGGAGGAGAGGGAGATTCATATTTTGATGCAAATCAACAGTGCATCTAAATAGATTTTCTTTTTTTAAGTCATATTTCTTTAAATCTGTGAAAGGTAAAGAAAACACTATTTAACCTGAGTGGTAACAATCAGATGGGATTTCCATTGTCATAAATATTAGAGACTAGGTCATCATATGAGAGAAATGGCAGGCCTCCAACTTAACTAAATGGTGCACAGGATTTGCAGGATATGAAATAATGATCTTTCATGTCTTCCCATTAATGGAGTGATGACATTCAGGCACCTATATCATGTGTTCTACCAGTGAGTGTAGTCATATCTCTTCTAGATAACAAAGACACCTGTCGTGTAATGCCAGAATCAAGCCTTCATATGACACTCCATTTGTCAAGTCAGTATGTTACCAAATATATTTTTCTTCTAGAGATTTTCCCAGCCTGTCTACATATCACAGCCATACTGAAGAGTCGTTCCTGTGTTAGAAATATAAAGCGCTCAGACAAATCAAAACAAAAGCAAACATTCCATTCTCATGGGGAAAATCAGAGTCCCCAGGAAGCACATGTAATTCTGTGCACACTTAGCTGTTACTTGCTGCTTTTCAACATGAGGCCAAAGGAGCAACTGGACAATAGTAGTCAATGCTATATTTAAGTGTATCTTTTGTTGTTTTATTTCTTTTAAAATTTTACATACAGTAAAATTCTCTTTTTGGGGGATGTACGGGTCTAAGTTTTGACAAATGCATAAACATGTAACCATTCATTTGGTTTTGACTGGCCCTGAGATGTATGTAATGCAATATAAATGGCAAAGTGTGATTCAGTCCTTTAAATGAAAAACATGAAGAATGGGAGGAAACTTTAGAGGATAGGAACAGGGGCTTCTGTCTTCTGAAATGAACCCTGCACTTCCCATAATTTTCCTTGACTAATTTCTTCTTTTATTCCTTTACTTTTAAAATATCTCAGCTTAACATCTGCTTTCTCACAAGAGCTTTCCCTGACCCATCACCCACCCTGAATCAAGATAAGATCCTCCTATGATGTGTTTTGTTTTCAGAGTATCTCATTCTTTTAAAAGTATCCCTACTTATCACAATTGTAGCTATACAGCCTCTTTTCTACATTGATTTTTATGGGATAATTAGTCTAATGTCTATC